GCATCCCCTTGTTGTTGAATTGTGCTATATAAATAAACTTGCCTTGCCTTCCCTATGTCTTTAAGCTCTGCACAATACAGACAGTCAGAGACCAAATGCATTCTAACATGCTGTTAAACAAAGCTTCAAACAAAGCTTCTGTTCAGTAAATAATACTTCAATTGCATAGTGGTATGGACCTGCTGGTTGCCTCAGGGTTTTTCTCCTGTCCTATCATTTTCTATCAGTTATAAGTTTCCTTTCTTTAAACATTATCCTTCATATTTTTTCACACAAAAAGGCATAAAAATCTGCCAAGGTATACTAGTCACTGTGATAATCCCTTGTGAATAAGAGAGTAGCCAAAAGTAGCTTTTATAGTAGCTAAATCATGTTTTGTACAACATTTTTAAAATGACCACAAGAGCAAGATGAAGCCTGTCAGAATTGCGCATAACAATAGTAGAAAATACAAAATGATTTGTTGCTGCCATTTGTGTCACTGACTTTACCTGTGGCCTTTGCAGAATGGATCCACAGCATTGTGCATCCCCTCCATGCTTGTCTAATGATGTCAGATTGTACAGTGTTCCTGCACAGCACTTCATCTGTGGGTCTTTAATGTTGTAGGCTTTGACTCCACAGCAGTAAATGTTTTTTGATTTGAGATGCCTGGTTGGGAAACAGAGGGACAAATTAATATCAAATAAGAAGAGTGATATATATGTTCATAAGAGGGCGAATTATATTAGTCTATATGTGTATTGCTAGATGTTAGCATAAAAGAATGTCTTCATTTGTGCACTGAAAAAACAGAATATCATCAGAGTTGCTGGATCTGCAACTACTCTGTAGTTTAAGGTTTGTATTCTTAACTAGTAATTATATGATCATGGGTCTAATGCCACGTTAGAAAGTAATGCAAAATATTGATAAGATAATTTTCTCCAGGGATTAAAAAAAGGAAAAACAATGCATTATGTTTTAAAAAGCAATGAGCAATGTTCATTAACTTATTTTATTTTTTTTTTGTTATAACATTCCTCTCATTGACATATAACAAATAAAGAAAGACATAAAAATAAATATGATCTTCTTTTGGTATCGCCACAACTAGCAGCAAAGTTCGTGAAAACAAGCTCTGATAGTTACTGCATCTTACGAGCCGCCAAGATTCAGCAAGTTCAACTGTTACAAAGCCTACCATAAAACAGCAACTGAGACCTGGATATGAATAGCTACTGAGTTGTATGATAATTCATACATTAACACTGGTTCCAGCCCATATGGCAATACAAAACATTGAATGTTGCAATAAATGCAGTTACTGAATATGAAAGTACATTCATTGAACACTGGAGTCATGACAAGCATGCACATGCACAGGTTTTAACAATAAACTTGAAAAAGCACCAAGCCCAGACAGAGACTCAGAGTGATGAGGCAAAGAAATTCTTTCAGTAACTCAATGCATTGAAAGGAAAAATAGGTGGGAAAGACCTTCGGTATGTCTGGAATGTCTGCCTGTCTCGTAAATGATTAGCTTTATTAATCTCAGAGGAGATTATGTGGGCACAGTTGTTCCATGACAGTAAGAACAGTAACTAACTAACTAAACCAAATAAAGCAAAAAAGTGACAGAGTTACAAAAATATAACAAATAGCTCTAATTACAAATATCCCAGTATATTAAACAAAATGAAATATATACAGCTGACATTGAGGTGCTCCTCTTATCATAATGACGTTGTAATTTTGTCTGTAGAGGGTGTTTTTAAGAGTAAACAAAAAAAGCAAATATAATACCAGTGAATATGAATGTGATTTTTTTTT